TTAAAGTAACGTTTTTTGACAATTCGACTTTTTGATTTTGACATTTTTGTGTTTCTCACACATGCAATGCAGCAATGATCACTGATATCATTCGGAAAAACTCCTATGGCTGTATACTTGTAAGGAGTATTTGTTAAAATAATGTCAATCAGTGTATCATTGCCTGGTTTTGCTGAATTGATCCTAGTAGGGCTACCAATAAGCTGGGTGAGGTTCAGTGTGTCACATGACTGTTTAAAAATTGAAGATTTCTCACTTAACCAATCTAAGTTCAGATCCCCCATTAATATAAACTCATGAGACAAATATTTAGATAAAACATCAGACAGATTAGCGATAGAATCAGCAGATGCTGAGGGAGGTCTGTAGCACCCACATATTGTAATGGGAGAGTTAGCCAAAATTATTTGTACAGCCAAAAACTCATATTGTTTAGGAATAGATATGGAATGCAGTAGTGATCCTTGTAAATGCTCAGATACATACATGGCCACACCTCCAGCTCTGCCTTTTCTATCTGCTCGAAACACATTATAACCAGCAATATAGATAATGTCATCAGGTACACTTGGTTTTAACCAGGACTCTGAAACAATCACTATATCAGGTTTAGCAGTGATGAACCATGTTTTGAACAGATCGAATTTCCGAACTAGGCTTCTTGCATTAAAGTGTAAAAAACCAAGACCATGTCTATGGCTAAAGACATCAGGCGTTGATAAGTGACATAGATTATTGACCATAAAAGGCTCTGGGCCAGGGTTACTGTTTACATTTCCTGACAGCAACAAAAGCAACAGAATAAATATCCTAGAAAAACTGTTTTTAATCTTGGATTTCAGACGATTGGAGTTTTGCATCCCAGTGTATTGCACTGAACGAACAATGTCCAAAATGAGCAATGTGAAAGGTGAAAAATCTTTATATAGGCCTTGCAAAGGGTCACTTCCATGATTACTGATAGACAAAGTGTTTGTTTCTTGGAACAAAGGATGCATTAAATGAAAAGATTCATCCATATTTGGAGGACACACATTAGTTTTGTGGCACTGCAATAATACCATAAAAACAAAAAATGAAATAATTAATTTAACGTTGGCCATTTTGAATAATTAGAAATAAGATACTGGGAAACAATAAATGAGCAGATCTGTTTGTTATTGCTGAAGAACTACACCAAGTTTCAGGTAACTTTAGAGAATAATCTTTAAAAGTTTGTCACTTGGATGGATGTTGAGATGGAATCCAGCAGTGCAGGCCTAGCTTTGTGAGCAAATGTTAGTAGCTAACAAGCATGCCCAACTAGAAAAGTCGGCTGACAGAGCAAGCAGGGCTGGAGAAGCTAGTCAGAAGTGCAGGCATAGCTAGAGATGATGGTTACCAGAACAGGCCCAGCTGGAGAAGTCAGTCAGCAGTGCAGGCAGGGCTGGAGAAACTGGTTACCAGAGCAGGCCCAGCTGGA